AACAGCGCTGAAATCTGGGCTCGCAGGTGAAAATCTGTGGATGAAAGCTGCTGCAGTGCTCGAGTCTGGCTTAGGAAGTTTTTTCCCCTTCTTATCTTGTAACAACACGCCCCAGATACAGATAATTGCTGTGCTGGAGGGGAGCTGGAGATGGATGGCTTCACTTGGTGAGTTTGGTGCTGGGGAGGCAGGCTGATACCGACACTGCAGGCTGCGGTAGGCTGTAAGAGCAGCAGTTTGGCCAAAGGAAGGTTGGTCTGCTGAAACTGAAGAGGTGGAGTTTTTGGTTTTGTTTTCTTTTTCTCCCAGGGTATCTAATAATTTCCCACTGGAAAAGCACTGTGTTGATCTTTCTGTCCAGCTTGGTGTTGCCCTTCATGCCCTCGTCCCTGCCCTGCTTTGATTTGGGACGAGCAGAGCCTGCTGCTCTGTGCTGTTCACCTGGCTGTCACCTGGCCCTCTGCTTGAACTCCAGTGTCCTCAGCTAGCTGTGTGTCTGCAGTGAGAACTCAGTATGGAAATAACTGTGTGCATTAAGTAACTGTTCTGAAAGAGGGGAAAAAAAAAAAAAAAAAAAGCAAAACATGGAGCAAACAATCATGACCTGTTCTTGCTGCTGGCTGCGTGGTGTTGTCCCAGGGGATGTGATGAAGGGATCCATGGTGTTCCTCACATGCTGGCTCTGGCGCTGCTTTGTGCCACGTTGGCCTGTGTCACCCCAGCTCGTGCTTGGCTGCCGCTTGGGACTTCTGTGGGCGTGAAGCTTCTCTCTAAGTGCTTCTTTCCTATGAAAGATTTCTCTCTTCCTTTGCATCCCACTCTCCCAAGTGATGGTTTCTTCACTCGGGGCTCCTCCATGCTCACTGGGAGCGACGGGCCGGCCGTGTTTCCACCTTCCCCGTGGCTGGCTGCTGTCTGTCGCTTTGATTAAGTGATCCAGGAAACTTCCCTGCCCATATTTCCTTTTCCCACCCCTACCATTCAGTCTCATCTGAATGCTGTAAGTAAGTCTCTCTGCTGAAGCTGTTCGGGGAGGAATCTGATGGTTTCCGTGCCGGCAAAGCTGCGGGGTGTGGTTAGCTCAGCTTATCAGCTGGGAGCCTTGTTTTGGCAGCCTCCTCACTTTCATGGTCTCAGGGACAGTTTCCAGTGTGCAGTCACCTCTGGTGTGTGTGCTTGGGGGGGGTTTGGTGCCAGCATGCCATCTCCTTGCTCAGCCCATCCAGAGATACAGCTCAGCGGTTACCAAATGCTTGGTAGCCAGAAGCTGGTCTAGAAGGGCCTTGGAGAGGAAAGCAGGGCTAAGGTAGCTCTCTTCCAGGCAATGTGTTTGGTTTTTTTTCTTTTTTCCTTCTGTTGTAGCTAATTGCAAAAATAAATGCAGTTAGCAGCCTGAAGAGGACCTTCTCTTGCTGCACCATGCTGAGGAGCACCTTGTGCGCAGTGGCTTCTTGCCTCCCAGCCTGGTTCGTTTTTAGATGCTGAAGGGCATTTTGAGACTGTTACAACTTCATTTTACATTGTGTTTATATGAAACAGACAAAAAAAAATAATCCAGTGCTCTGCCAAGTATTTCTGGAAAGAACAAGCTTCGTGGATAATCGTTTTCATGTTCTACCTGCTCCTTGGTGTGTTAAAGCTACAGAAGAATCTTCTCTACCCTGAATGAAGGCTTTGAGGGATTAGCCTTCAAGTAGTCACTTGAGGCATGTTGATTAAGAAATATCCTCAATGCAAGATTTAATCAAGATTTGAATAATGGAACTGCAACTGACTTTTGCTCCAGGGATCCAGCGAACTTCCAGACAGGGATCCCTGTGTGCTGCTCCCCAGGATCCCTGTGTCACTCTGGAGTGGACCAAGCCGACTGCCCTGTGACTGCTCCGGCCTGCAGTGGCTGTGGCACGGCTGTATGGGAGGTTGGTGAGTCGCAGTGCTGGAGAGGAGCTTTCTTGCTTTGCTGGTGTGCCCTGAGCCTGCAGAGAGAGCCAGGACTTGGCGAATTCCCTTTAAGAACATGGGAAGTGCAGCAAAATGGTCCTTGCACCAACCCAGGAGTGGTTGTCCCACAGATAGCAAAGGGCAGCACGCAGATGCTCCTCGGTAACATCACTTGTCTAGTGGTAATATCAGCTTCCCCTTGGGAACATCCGTGTCTGCCTGGGCAGAAGAAGATGGAAGCTTGTGGGGTTAACCACATGGGGCTCTGAATTGAAGAGTTCTTTAACCATCAGCTGGAATTGGGCTGAGATCCTGTTCCTGTCCAGGGGAGGGGTGTATGCACGATGTCTGTGCTGCCTTGAGGCAGTGGGGAACAGCAGAACTTCCCATCTCAGAGCGGGCTTAGGCAGCTGCAAAATGTGAGTCAGGATGAATGAGGCGGTTGAAAGCTCTGTGCTCCTTACGGTTCACAGTTCAGTAAAAGCAAGGATGTAGAAGCAGGAGACCATTACTGACCGTGCTTTGAAGAGGCTTTCTTGGCTCACACGTCCTTGCTGTGCTGTTTGTCCCTGATGCCCTGGCTGGGCTGTACACAGAATGCTGCGCTGCAGCCTCTGTTCTCATCCTGTTTGATACCTGAATGCTGGCATTTCGTTACCGCAGCTCAGAAAGTGTGTTGGCTTCAGTTGGTATTTCTGGGCTGTACGAAGCCAAAATAAGTGGAACAAATACACATTGACCTGAAGGCAGGGTGTGCTGCCATGCGGGCCTTCCTGGTGCTCGTGTGCCTGTGGTGGCAGCGGTGCAGCTTTGCAGTGAAGGGGTTTGATTAAAGTTGCTGCTGGAGCTGAGTGTGCAGCACACAGGTGTTAAAGGAAAAGGAAAGATGAGGAGGTGACATAAGAGCACGCTGGAAAACCCCGCTCTGAGCAGCCACAGGTACTGTGAGCAGAGAGGCTTTGCTTCGGAAGCTTTTTCTTTGAGTTCCCCACATTATCTCCCTTTCCACCTGCAGAGAAACAAAGCGGTTTTGTGCCTGGAGCGCAGCGATGTCCGCGGCACCGCGCTGCCCTTAACGAGGCCCTCCCTGCTCCGCAGCACTCCAACAGATCAGCGCTTCCAAAAAGATCTGTATCCTAGCAGTTGAGAACGGGAGTCCTTTCTGTATTGAAAAACCTGAAAGGAAAAGGCATCCTGTGCAAACTGTGGCTTTGTGCGTGCTCATGTAATGGGCTATCAATCAAATTTAATTAAAACCGGGGTAACCGCGGAGTTTCGCTCCCTTTTAGGTCAGCTATGGCACAGGAAAAAAAAAGTTTTATCTTTACAAGCTGCTCTTGCAGAAGTTATTGCTGCGATTGCAGTTAAGCCCTTGCCTTAAAGGCAGTGAAATTAATTTGCTTGTTTTTATAGAGAAATTTCTTGCCTCTTGGCCAACTCCAAAAATAGCTGTGGAGTCCCTAGGAGCGAAGTGTGCGCACGCTTCAGTGCAGCAGCATCAGTTGGTGCAGAAAGACAGGGTCTGCCAGGCAGCGTGCGCTGGTTTCTTCCTGCAGCTCCCTGAGCAGCAGAGGGTGTGCGATGGGCTGCCCTGCACGGCACGCTGGGACCCACATCGAGCTCCTGCAGCCCTGCTGGTGAGGGTGGTGCTGGGCTGCTCAGAGCTCCCTGTGTTGGAGCAGCCCGCTCCCCTCGCAGCCTGGCAGCTGAGGAGACGTCCCCTGAAGAGACAGTACCCTTCTTCCTCCCACCCTCACTTTCTTTCTGCTATATATTGGGCCGCTGAACAGGCTTGCATTGACCGGGTAACAAAGAAGTCTTTCAGGCCCTAGCTTTAGCCACAGCCAGTGTGCTGTGGGCTTTTGTTAATACTTTCAGTCCCCGCTTTCTCTTTCAGCAGCCCTCGCTCTCATTGTTATATGTTTCAGGAGCCACGATGATATTTCTGCGTTCATTTTGTTTGCTCAGTTTGCAGAAAAAGTTGCAGAGGGCCAAGAGGGAGTGGGGCATCCCATCCTGCTCTGCACCGGGGGAGCAGTGTGTGCTGCGGGCACATCCCCGGAGCAGGATGTGGCTGGGGGCTGTGGAGCCGCCCACTGGCCTCCCCCCACCGCTGGGCCTGTCTCCACGTTCTCCTGGTTAGTTCTGGTCTGGCAGTGGAAGAGAAAGGCTCTTACTGGCACAGCTGGTTCTGCTAAATGGCTGTTAGGTGCTTAGAGAGCGTTGTACATGAGTTGTGAATTCATTCAGCATCTTCCCAAGTGGGTGCAGCGTGTGGCTTTGTTTTACAAGTGGAGGATGTGTGTGTGCTCCCTCCTACCAGCAGGTAGAGATGAGTGAAAACCAAGCTGCTTGTCTGTGTCTGTGCTAGTAAATCTGAAAGCTGCTGGAAGGCGCTTTCTAATTGTTCTGAAACATCAGTATGGGAATTAATTCCTGGAAATAAAATGTTAGGAAGCAGCTGATTGAAAGGGCCAATGCAGAGCAGGCATGCAGAAATAAAGGTGAAGGCGTCCAAGAGGGAGGTAGAAGATGTTAGGGTTGTTCCTTCTCCATTGCAGACCGTCGCTGGGGCAGCATGCCCCCAAACCAGGGGTGTTGTTGGAGATGAATCAGGGGGCGATGGGGTTGGTTGTGGCAATGATCTTCTGCCCGCAGGCTGCCATATGCTCTGGAGCATCTCAGCACACTCCTTTTTACACAAATAGTTGCGTTTTCGGCACTCTAAACTGCTGTTTAATGGAACGAAAAGCTGCGTTGTCTTCCACTCAATGAGAGGATAAAATGTGGCACTCGGAGCAATAAGTGTGACTGTATTTCTGCACCTCTGAAAGGATCATGTGAGCGAGGCCAATACCTCATGGCAGCACTCTGTTAAATGGGATAGAACAGACTTGGAAATCCTTTGCACAGTAAAAGATGGATCTGGTGGATGCCATCACTCCTGAGAGGAAGCTCTCAGCGTTATTGCAAATGTAGATCCTTGGAAGGTTTCCTTAGCCCTGTGCCCCCCTCCCCCCCCTCCAAATCTACTATTTCATTAATTACTCAAAAGGAGTTCCTGTAGCCTGTGGCCAGGGGTGGCTTTTGGAGTGCTCAGCTGCATGCTGTGAACGCTCCTGGTGCCCTGGTAAATGTTGTCTTTAGCTCTGTGTTTCTTGTCAGAGGGTCTGGTTCTGGTTTTTCAGTTGTTCTTTTATTATGTTTTTTTCAGCTTTTGTAAGTAAATGCCTGAGGTGACATCGCTGTGTGCCAGAGCAGCCCTATGGGGGAGGCTGAATGTTAAATAAACCGCTGTCTGAATTCCTCCCAATTTCCTGTACGAAGAGATGAGCCTTGCCCGATGTCTGGAAGGCTAATAAATACATTCAGGCTCTCACAGATTAAGGGAGAAACAAATCTGAAGGCTGTGGGGTCTTCACCGTGCTTAAAGGTGTGGAATGTGTCTGTGAGACGGCACTAAAACTGTCCTTTCCACTTCTATTTACTTTGGTGCCGAATTTTCCCAGCTGATAATAAGAGGACGTTTTTTCCTTGCATCTTCAGCCATTGAAATGCAGTGGCAGAGGGTTTGTATTGGGGTGCGTTGCCCAACCCTCTGTGCCTTTTGGTGTGCTCACTGTGAGATCCCTGCTCACGCTGTTGTGCAGCTGCTGTGTTCTCCTGCAAGCCTCAATGGAAGGCTCTTGTAATCAGAGTCTTGGGCTGAAGAGCCTTGGCCTGTGTTTTGACCTTGGGTGCCCCTTTCACTGCTGCTCTTTTTGTATTTTCAATGTTAACAGTGGTTGCTGGAGTACAGAATGTGGGAGATGCATTGGAAATAAATATGGATTTGCTTGTTTTTATACGGCCTCGTGCTAAGTGTCATAGTACTGCTTTTCATGCAGGCTCTTCCATCTCAAGTGCCTGTCCTCTTGAGATCTGCTTGCTTTTTTTTTTCGTGGAATCGTAGAATGGCTTGAGTTGGATCCTCAAGGATCATCGAGTTCCCAGGCTCTGCCACAGGCAGGGCTGCCACCTGCTAGATGAAGTACTTGACCAGATTGCCCCAGGCTGTCCAGCATGGCCTTAAACACCTCCGGGGATGGAGCACCCACAGCCTCTCTGAGATTTCTCTGAAAATAGGAACCTTCTTGGAAGCAGGAGCTTTGTGTGAGGACGTGGATGGTTTGGCACAGCCCTGCACCGAAATTCAGGCCTCACAGATCAGATTCAAGAGGTTCTGTCACTCCTGTTGCCAGATAACCATTGCATTTGATAAACTTTTCCAGGAGCCAGAGCCTCAGTTTGCTTTGTCTCTTGACAAACATCATGAATGCCCACTTCTTACATTCCTCCACCGCCATCCATCCACGTCTTTCTGAAGAAAGAGCAGCTCAGCCATCCCTGTTTGAGGGCGTTACTGCAGCCCCAGGTGAGACCTCAGCCCTGCTGTGAATCACCAGCAGCCCTCTTGTAACCGAGCACAGGGGCTGCTGTGAGCTCCGACGTTGCGTGCAGCAAAAGGGTTGAATGCCTCGGAAGGAAAAAACGTGCTGCTGCTTTTTAACTTTGGTTGGCTGTGAGAGCCTCTCCTTCTCCAACAAGGTTATGGCATACCTGGTAGAGGTAAAGACTTACAAGAGCTGATCATCCAGTGTGTGGTTCAGTCAGACAAATGCAAGGTAAAATAATGCAAAATTAAAACAGTTGAAGTGGAAACCAGGCTGTCTCCCTGGTCAGCTGAATGGCCCGCAGTAACGCTGAGCAGGGCTGCAGGCTGCGATGCTGACGTTCTGCTCTGCAGCCTCAATATTTCTTTTTCCTCTTGGCTGCCGCTCCTGGGATTTTCTGTGTTGGAAACACTTTCTGGTACAGTCGATCAAAAGGGCTCCCATTGGTTCTCCCGGTGTTTTAAGAAGCATCTCTAAGCAGTTCTTTGCAAGTCACCCTAAGGTCCATGGAACCACCAGCAAAAGCTTGTGGTAGGGCTGGGCTGAGCGCTGCAGGCTGTGGCAGGTGTGGGGAAATGAATCAGAGCTCCGGTCTGCAGATCCCGCTGGGGATTTCCACTTGGATTTCCCCTTCAGCAGAGCTGGTGGTTGTGATCGCCACGCAGTGAAGGTTAATAATAAGTGGTATGAAGGGGAGGTGAGCCCGCCGTAGATAAAAGTGAAGTTACTTGGACTCCTCCAGGGGATCGGTGCTTTCAGTCGACCTCTGCATGTGAAAAGCTGTGAGCGGCTCAGCTCAGCACAGGCACCTGCAGAATCTTTCTTTCATTTGGCGAAGTTCTGACTTACAGGTCCTTACAAGTTAATTTTTGAAACAAAAGATTAACTGAAGTGCTTTGGATTAGCGTGAGGCTGGCCCAGCTTCAAGGCAGCACGGTGTTTGGTTGCATTACTTTGCATTCTGACGGCGTGGGTCTTGGTTGGGATGTGGGGGGTTCTGGCTCTGCCCCTCGTTGGGATGCTTTTCATCAGCTGGCATTAGGGAAGGTTATCGAGCAAGAGCTCCCTGCGGGGATGGGCTGTGAGAGCTGTTTGAAAGCTGCGTGCGGTGCTTTGGGCATCCGTGAAAAATTGCTCCCACTTAAATCTGTGGAAAGTTGGGGAGGGTTTAACTGCTCCTGAGTGAAAGAGGCTTCAATGCTTCCCCATACAGCAGGTACCGTGTGGATGACTGGTGGGGCTCCCTGCTCTGTGCTGGATGGGCCCCTGGAAACGCTCCCTGCCTGCAGCAGGCACACTGCGCTCTGCTGAGCAGTGCAGGGCTGGTTCTGGCCTCTGGGGGCCTTCCTGCCTAATGAAGGCTTGGGCCCAGCATCCATGATAACACACCGTACCTCGCATAAATTTAGAACAGAGTGCAGCCAATTTTCACATGCTGCTGCTACATTATTCTTTCTCAAGCTGTGCCAGATAACTTCGTGCAGCAAAGCAGCTCCAGCTTTATGAGTGCTAGGATGGCTGGTTGGGGCCTGCAGAGCCGTCCTTCGGTGCTCGAGGAGTTGTGTGCACCCCTGCACTGCAGGTGTGTGGGTGCTGCTGAGGTGAAGAGCTCCCAGAGCCTTACACGGGAGAAGCTTCACGTGGAAGGTGGCTTTGTTGTGACTGTAATCATTTCTTAGCTCCCCTCTGCAAGGATGTGGGCTGTGAGGACTTCACTGGCGTCATCCCATCCCTGTGGGCATGGCAGGTGTGATGACTTTGAGAACCTAGGTACTTTGCTTTTGCTTTTTTTCCCTTTGACTGCTGCCTTTTGTTTGTCCTGTCCATTAAAATTGTGCCCTGTGTGTAAGCTAGGGCCCCGTGCTCCGGTGGTGTCACATTCCTATAGCTGCTCTGCCCGCACCGAGCAGGATGAGGGCTGTGTTTGTTCCTCAGCACCCGAGCTGCTCCCACCTGTGATCTGTCACTCCCCAGCACTCACGTAGGAGCCTATAGGCTCCTTTCCCAGGGCACTTAGTGCTTAGAACAGAACCTCGTCCTTTGGCTGCATACTGTTGGGGCAGTGCTGGGGAGGTGCGGGTGTTGCCCCTGGGTCTGCAGCCAGGAACCATCCATATAGGTGTACTGCTGTGGCTCTGTGGGTCATAAATGTTGCTGCTGAGATGAAATGGAATTCTAAGGCTGTATCCCTTGGCATGTTCTCCATGATGCTGTGACTTTCCAGCTGAAGGGAGCTGATGAAATCTATTGACTTTTCCATCTCTTAGAAGACGCTGTGTATTGTAAGAATAAAATGTGAATTAAAAAAAAAAAAAAAGCAGCAACTGCTCTTTGATGGAGGAAGATGGGCCAGCAAACAAATATTTTCAGGCAAGTTGGCCGCTGAGGAGTTGTCCATAGTTGAGCAAGAGCCGTGCTCCAACCCTGTGTTGGGCACAGCTGCAGTGCAGCGGGCATCTGTGGTGCTTACAGCTCTCGGCTGGCTGTTAGCCCTGCTCAGGCCGTGCTTTGGTAAATTCCTTTTCAGAGATGCTTCAGTGTGAACTGTGGTGGGGCAGAGCTTGGGGCCGCTGCTGGAGCCAGTCCTGTCCTTACAAAGAGCTGCTTCCACCTGAAGCGCCCCATCCAGGCCAAAGAAACGATTTCTTTTGGCACTTGGGTTGACAGGAACAGGCTGAGTAGCACAAGCAGATCTCCTTTGCGTCTCACTGGCCTGCAGTGCATTGGGTTCTGTTGCGCTTGCATGGCCGTGGTGCCCATGCTGACAGCAGGCTGCTCAGGGCTGGGTGAAGCGAGGGCTGCGGGTGATTTACATGCTGCTGAGCCGTCTCCAGTTCTCTTTAATTTAGAGATGCAAAGCTGAGCCTGAAAGGAATGAGCTCCAGATAATTAGGTGCTTGTCTGCAGGTGTAACCAGCGTGGCTGCCTGCAGCTGCTGCCCTTAATATTGCTGATTTTTATTTGGAAGCATTGGGGAATGAATGAGATGCTGGGAACGCTGCTCATTCGCAGCAAAGATTCTGCTGTTCTATTCCTCCCACCCCATTCCATCAGCTGTGGTGAGGCTGAAGGGCAGTGTGGCACAGAGCAGGTAAGGGTGCTGGGAGAGGGTTTTGGTGGAATGGGCGCTGAGTGCAGAAGTTGGAGCATAGAGAGATGTGTGCAGTGTAGATCAGGCGATGTTACGGCAGGCAGAATGGGCAGGAAGCACCTGGGTTACTTAAAATGAAGCACTAAGATAAATGATACGTAATTAGGTAAAAAGCTCAAGATAAATTTCAGGACGAGTTTTGATTTTCAGGGAGAGTGCTGGGTGGGAGCACAGTATGATCTGGGTAAATGCTGACAGCCTCACTGCTTGCAGCGTCTGGATTGGGACTGCGCTTGGGAGCAGTGCTTAATGAGGAGCCCTTAATTAGCAGAGGGACAGGCGAGCCCATGGCTTTGTTAGTGCTGAGTGGGGATGGAGCCCTGTGAGGGAGTGGGCAGCAGTGGGGAGCTGCCCGGAGCAGTGCTCTGCTGGGCACGAGGCTGTTAGGGCAGCACAGAGCTGCGCATTGTGTGGTTGTTGCACATGTAAAATAGCTCATAATTGAAAATGTAAAGAGAGTTTGGTTGTGCCATTTAATAGAGAGAATAAGGTGATGGAATAAGAGGCCAGTTTACATAAACGCTTTGTTGATCCACTTACATTTTATACCTCCTGACAAATGGCAATGCGGTTGTGAGTGTTGACTCCACATGTTGCAGTAAGGGTCTTTATATCAGGCTGTAAAACATTGAAGCAAGCTTAATAATGGCTTTTGCCTGAAGATCCTTTTGGTTATGAGTAAGTACAGCAGGTGGTGAATCTCAGAGCATGGTTTGCATCTGCTTGCAGCAGTAGAGCTGCAGTATGCAGCCTGGTTGTTGCACGCTGTGTACCCACTGTAAACCCCACTGCTGCCATTTTGCAAACACCTTTTAATTTGATTTGAGCAGTCAGCAGTCTGTCCTTGATGTCAGGATTAATGAGGGGTGTGAGGAGGATGTGGCTTCTTAGAGAAGTCTTTGCCTGTGTCTCTGAACCTCTGACTGCAGTTTGATGTGCTCATGCCAGGAAAAGTTGTTTAATTTTTGGGGTGTCTCAGTGGGTTTTGCTGATTTAAAGTACCTGCTAAACAACCAGGCACGTGGCTGCGCTGCTGCTCCACTGGGGCACAGGAGCAGCTGCTTTGGAGCAGAAAGTTGGGAGGATTTGCACAACTTCTTCCTGAGGAGTTCATGCTGTGATGGAGTTTCCCTCAGACACGGAGCGCTGATGCTGCCAGCACCGCTGATTCCCTTACATTCCGTGCACCAGAAAGCTGCAGATGGTGCTGAGGGTTTGGGTTTGCTGTGGTTCTATGCTCTGTACGCTCACCTGATGGCTTTGTCTCATACTTTCCACTGTTTAATGCACACGTGGTACAAGCAGGGCCGTGCAGTGGGGTTGTTTAACCCTGGGAGTTGGCAGAGGGCTCACTTGTGCTGGAAAGGAGGGAGATTTTGGAGAGGAATTCCTCCTGGCTGTAAGTGCTGCGCATTTGTTGTCTGTGTGGCATGGCACCTTGGATGGCATGCAGCAACGGGGGCTGAATTACCCTGGTAGCAGAGTGCTGAGGGCAGGCTGCACTGACCACCTCGCTTGTGGCCCTGGAGCAGCGCTCTGCCCATCCCATCCTATCCCATAGGAGCCCTGCGAGCACTGTGCTGCCCATCCCATCCCATCCCTTCAGAGCCCCGGGAGCACTGTGCTGCCCACCCAGTGCCTGCATTTGTCAGAAGCCGGGTGCAGGAAATAAGCACTTTCTCCATCCTTTGGATCTCATTAAAGCTTAGTGGAACTTAAGGCACTTCTGTATCCTTCAGTCTTGTGCTCAGATCAAGTCCTGTAGCAGAAGGACTTAGAGGTTTCCTTTTAATCTGATGAGAACCATCACTTTCCAGAAGTGATGTGGAAGCAGCTGCCCTGGCAGCAGCACCCAGCCCTGGGCGCAGGCAGCGAGCTGACTGCTCAGAGAAGATTATTTTCCCATGGCTTACATGAGTTCTAAAATAAGAAAATAAATCCTAACCTGCTCGAGGATGAAACAGTTTTTCCAAACTCAGGAACGGTCCCTTTTGGAGCAGGGATTGCTCATTTGTTTGTTCCTTTCCCTCTTTATTTCCTCTGGGTGCCCTTTCCAAGTTGGGAGAACTACAGCAGTTGGCTCCACACCGAGACGTAAAACCTGTTGGCAGCAGCTCCGCTGTGTGGGCAGGAGGCGACTTACTGCCACATGGAGGCAAGTGCAAACAGGGCGATGGTGGCTGTGGCTCTGCGTGGGGAGGAAGTGGCGCTGCCCCCACGTCCCTCCCCGTGCTGCTTTCCTTAACATGCTGCCCTCAGGATCCCCCGCGGCCCCGTGCAGCAGCCCCTGGAGGAGCGGATCTTCACGCCGACCGTCTCTGCCGTGTACAGCACTGTGAGTATCTGCACAGTGCTGCTGGGTGCTTCCCAGCACTGGAATTCCTGGTTTCTTGCATTGTAAGCAGTGATGGGATCTGCAGGAGTTGGGATCCCTTCCTTTCCTGCTGATTCAGCAGAGCGCTGGGTTTCCCGAGGCAGTGGCGGTGGGATGAAGGCGTCCTGCATGCAGCTGGTTGGCTCCATCCCTCCTGCCTTGTGCTACGTGTCCTGTCGCAGGAGCAGCCCAAAGAGGTTGGGCCTTCGCACTGAGCGCCCCGTTCGGAGCTGCGGAGAAATATTGTGATGGCGCAGTGAGAACCTGGGATGGGTGCTTTGGCTCGCTGGTGCTTGTTGATAAAGCTGGGTCATCGAGGAGACACCACCAAAACGCAGCAGTGTTTGTGAACATAGGACACCATTTTCCTTTGATTCATTTCTTCTTTTCCCATGCGGCAATAGCTGGAATCCCAGTTTCATTTCTAAGCTGTGCTAAATCAGCAGGGCCCTGTTAAAGCACTGCTTTGCTTTTCTGATGGGAGAGTGCACATCTTTGGAATGCCAAAAGACGCTTCCAGGCAGCTCCTTATTATTTGGGAAGCAGGAAGGAAAGCTGTGGATGCAGGAAGTTCCCTCTGTGTTGTGCAGCCAGCATAAGTGTTTGTAGAAGAACACAGGCTGCTGCACAAGAGTTCCTCCTCCCCTCATTACCTCTGTGCCCAGGGGATCCTCCCTACGCAGTTTTTTCATTTCAGATCTTTGAGGATATAATGCGGCTGCCTGTTGGGGAAAAGGCAACTGTAAAAATGTAAATTGATGTAAAATGTAAAAGTAACTGTAAAGAATGAGCTAAAATGACTTTTCAGTGTGAAAAATACCTTTGTGATGCAGGAGTAGAAGGCAGGGCTGGAAATGTGTCTGCTTTTAGGAAACACAAATATGGGAGAAGGTGTTCTGCTTAAGGGAAAGGAGTGCCATTTATCACTTGGGTTCTGTGAGAGCTTTCCTCCCGAGCCCTTTTGGCAGGTGGCAGATGTGGAGTTAAGTCCTGGAAGAGCTGAATGGGGACAGAGGAGGCACGAGTGCAGCTGATCTGGGAGCTTGGAGGTGCTTGCGTGTGCCAGAAGAGCTGCTTCTGGGTGGGAGGTTCTGAGTGTTTCCTTGTAAGCTGCTGCCTTCCTGGTGGTTCCCAGCAGAGAGATCCCTGCAGTCAGTCCTGCGCCTGCTGTGAGGTGCTTGTCCCCTGTGAAAAAAGCCCTGGGCAGGGGGTTATCCCTGGTGGTGGGGAGAGCACTCCCAGCCCACTGTGATACCCTTAAAGGGATGCTGAAGGCAGTTCTGGAGAAAAGAGATGACAGAGGGTGAGCAGGCCCACGTGCTGGTGGGCTCAGGAGGCTGTTCTGCCCCATGGGGCATCCCGGGGGTCTTTGTGCTGGTCATTGGGTGCTGGAGGTTCTGCCCAAGTCAATTTTTGCTGCATCTCAGGGATGCTTGTGTTGTGCCCTGTCCCTTTTGATCTTACCTGAGGGCTTCCTGGATGTGGCTGTGTGGCTGAAGTTGTGGAAGAAACGGGAAGAACGGGAAGAAACCTACAGAAGATTTAAACTCAGAGAGTTGCAGCCCGAGTTCACCTCTCATATAGTCTGTTATTTTCTTTAAAATGTGGATAAAGGCTTCTGAAAAACAAAACATACAGATACCTAGCAAATTAGTATGGAATTCTCTGTATCCATTTTCAGAAAAATGTCAGCTCTGGATTTATGGACATCTGCTTCCTTAATTACCTCAACCCAAGTTTCTGTTGCAGGATGTCCCGTGGTAAACAGCAGAGCAAACCCCTGGTTGAGCATGCCGGGACACAAGTTGTGCCCTCGTGGACTTGTTGCTTTTTAGCTTGCTATCATGCAAATATCTCACCTTGACTTCAGTTTATGTAAATACGCTGTATGTAATATTGGAGGGGCTCATCCCTGACCTGCCCTCAGGGTGAGCACCGGGGTGCTGTAAATCTCCCTGCAGTGAATGGTTCTGGGCCTTTTCCAAGCCTTGGGAAATTGCACAGTATCGTTCTTGTTGATGGTGCAGCTGTTTCAGGCTTGGAGGTAATGTTTAAGAAAGCATCAATATTTGGAATGTAACAGCGCGACTTGGGAAAGCGTGTAGTTGAACTCTGTGGCTTCTGCCCTCGTGCTGCCTTTGCTTGGTGCTAACGCTCAGCTGCAGATGGAGATCCAGGGCCTTGCTCCTGCCTTTCTGTTGATGCAGAACCGGTGTGGTTGGGTACAGCATGTCATGGGAAGCTGGGAAGGTTGCAGCCTGGAGCCAGAGGGGTGCTGCACAGCACGGCCCCAGCGTTCCTCCCCATTTCCCGGGGGCTCTGGCTGGTGCTCTTGGTATTTGGTCCTTTCCCATTTTCCTTATCTGTGTGCATTGACTTGTATGGTGTCTCACTAAAAATAGTGATGATAATACTGTGCTGCTAGCTGCTTTCTTAAGAAGAGTACAGCATCTCTACAGATCGGATTACTAATGTTCTGTTTTACTAACAGTTTATCTCCACACAGGTAACACAAGTAGCAAGACAGCCGGGTCCTCCTGCCCCATCCCCTTACACTACACATGAAATAAATAAGGGACACCCAAATATTGCTGCAACGCCACCGGGACACGCGTCGTCCCCAGGGCTCTCGCAGGTAAGAGCGCCAGAGCAGCACGTTCCCAGCCACACTCTTTTCCTCCTGTGCAGTTCTTGGCTTTGCTGCTCAAATTCAATGTATCTGTCTTGTCTGTGACCAGTAAGAGCTGGTGGAAGGACACCTCAATCTGGCTGCTGAGGACAGGCTGCGGACAGCTGCATGCTGCTGTGAGCTGGTGGTGAGGGCTGTGCTGGAGGAGGCGAGCTTCTGCCCTTCCTGCCAACCTCTTCAGTTTGGGTGAAATATTAAACCCCAACTGACCTTTCAGACTGCGAGATGTGTGATAACAAGTGAGGTCATGCGAGGAGCACTTCACCTCCGTGTTCTGCATTCTAGATAAAGCTTAGTGATGCGTGTCTGACGAGCTTGGTGGGAAAACTGGAACCTGTGTTTGTGTTTGAAAAATGTGCGAATGTTCGTCTTCTATGAAGTGGGAAGTCAGAGGCTGCAGTATCTATTCAGGATCACAAGTAGCTTGCAGGCATCAGTCAGCAGTCTCTGAGCGGTGCCTTGTGCTTTTGCTGCATGGCTGTTGGTAAGGGAGTCTCTGGTTTGAAGGCTGAGCTGAAGAGCACAGCAGGGCTGCAGAGCAAACCCCGCATGCCGGCCGGCTTGTGTCAGGGATCACAGAGCTTGTTCCTGGTAGACGCCGTCAACAGAGGGAAGCTAATCATGATAGATAAAAGGGGAAGAAAGAGGACATTCTAGGCAGCTTCTTAACAAGAAAACTCTAATCAAGGTTTTTTCTTCCCGTAATATTTTCCTGTTGAGTCAGTGCATACGTAGATGGCAGGCTGTGTGCCAGATCAGCGCTCTGGCCAGCCGGGAAAACGCTCGTTTCCTGTTCTGCTGGCTCTTATCCTCTTGGAAATGAGCATCAGCCTGCTTGTGCCGCCGTGCTGCTGCTAGCAGGACCCCGAATTGTGTCTGTGTGTCCCCTGCTGGCATGGGGCAGCTCTGCTGGTGGGACTGCAGGGGGGTGAGGCGTGCTGGCTCGACACACGAGGTCGGGCAGTTCTGCAGCAGTGCCACTAAGCTGGGACTTGGTGACTGAACAGCAGCAGTCGTGCTTTTTTTCTAGCAGCAGTAGCAGTCAGCAGCGTGTGCTTGCCTGTGCCCTTAACTGGTAGGGGTTTGGGTCAACTCAAAGGCTGTGGTATGTGGTTCTGGTTTTTTTGTTCTTTTTTTGCCTTCAACTCTAGAAATGTTAGCGTTCTCTCCTGTAGCTCACTTCAGCTCTGGTCAAATGTTGAGTTGCAATGTTATATCACAATAACCAATTTTCTGGCTTAGCAGGATGTGGGCTGGAGGCATTACCTATTTATTGCATCTATCATTTTTCTCCTCTGGGTTTTTCCAAATGCCCTCTTGTGTTTGCATTAAGAAATGAGGTGAGTAGAAATCTCTTGTTTGCAGACCACATTTTTGGGGAAATTCTGTCATGACTTCATGTATTTGTTTCATTTGGGTAAACAATCAAAACTCCTTTAAGTCTCTCATCACATGAGCATTTTTCTATGCTCTGATCATTCTTTTTCTCTGTTCAAACTGCTGGACTCCTGCTGCTTCCCTTTTGAGTTAGAGGGCCCGGAGCTGATGGGGCTCTGATGAGTGTTGTGTTCCCGAGTTCTATAATGGCAAGGTTGCGTTTTGTGAACTGCCACGTATCTCCACAGCCCACACTGCTGATTGAGCAGAGGTTGTCTTTGCATTTTCCAGTTGTATTTGATGTGTGTGTTCTTGATTTGAGAGCAGCGAAGATGGTAAGCAACAAAGCACTTCATTTGGGTAAGAATCTGATTAAGGCATCATTCTTTTTTCCCCTGACCTGTGGCTTAATTAATATTCTTAAAACTGAGTCTTTTCAGGGTGGGGACGGCCGTGTAGGCAGCAATGGATGAAAACATGTATGTGTTTTTAGGCTTCAGGTACTGAGATCTAAAAACCATTTTGCCGCATTGCTAGCATGCATGTCACTGGGGTGGTCCCAGACTGCTCTGATGCCGTCAGCTGAGTGCTCTGCAAAGGGATTGCTCCCTGTACAAAACTGGGGTGCTTTGTAGCTCTGCAGGTACCTGTGATGAGCTTCCAGCGTGGCGTGGAGAGGTTCCTGGGCCTGGGGAAGCAGGGCTGGAATGGCACGAGCTGCAACAGCATACGGGGTGGTTAGTGTCTGCTGTGGGAAAAAGAGCCAGGTGCAGATGGGTGCTGTACTTCTGTAGCTGTCTTTTCTTCTCCATTTAAATGGACAGAAACAGACGGCTGTGTGCTGCTGTGGCTCAGTGTCTCTTTCGTTTACTCTTCTGCCTTTTCCACTTAACATAGCCAAACAGGAGAGAGGGTTGCTGTTCAACTTCTGCAGTGACCCGCCTCTGGCACTGTGCTGCCCTTCAGAATTAGTTCTGCAGCACGACAAGGAGAGCTCAGCAGTGTGAGAATCGCTCCTACAGCAAGACCAGCACTTCTGCTTCCCTCCGCTTCCCAAACTCCTGGGCCTTGAAGTCACGCTGCTCTGGAATGTGCTGAGCTCTGCTGGTGTTCAGGAGCACGCAGCACATGTTGCTCAGTGATGCTGCGGCAGATGTGGACCAGCAGACACGGCGTCTCACATCTCCGCACTGTGCAGCAGGAGAGGAATGGCACAGCCCTGCCCCCTCACCTCGATTCGTCTGAGACTTTCTCAGCATGCAGAGAAAAGGAGAAATCGGCAAAAGGCAGTAGATAAGGTTCTTCCTGGCTGTGGCAACCAGAGCAAGTTCTGCTGGGCTCAGGTAGGGCACAGGGCACGGCGGGGTAGTGCTTGCTGGAGCACTGATCCCACGCTGGATGTGAGGCTGTGCAGCGTGGTGCTCACATGGCTGTTAACACAAAGCAGCTGAGGGGCTGTAAATCTGCAGCCCGCTCTGGCTCTGCGTTGTGGTAATTTATTGTGTAGCCGTGCCTTGCGAAGGGAACAGCAATAAAGGAGAGATCTTCCAAAGCAACCAGACTGGGACTTGGAAGAAGACAGCAGAAGAGTGCTTTGCTCTGTCTGCTGAGCGATGAGAGGAGGAAGAGGGGCTCATGCAGGCAGGAGGCAGCATGCAGAGCTGGGGCATCGGGATGGGGCTGCTCAGTCTTCCTCCCCAAGGCCTCGGAATGCTGTGAAGGATCCCAGGGAGCAGGCATGGTGGAGTCTGATGTGCGAGATGAAGGAACATAATGGGGGAGTGGATGAGAAGTGGTGTTCCAAACACGACACTTTGGTCCTCTGCTTTAGCTTTGAAGGGAGGGCTCTGATGTGTACGCTGAGGTATTCCTCTGGTACAGGACAACAGTGTACAGCACCAACCAGCAACTCTTGTAACAAATGGCCGGGAGTTTCATCTGTAATCATGAAAGCCTTCAGGTCTTGCTCCAAGCACGCTGTGCACTGCAGATCAGCGCTCTGCTGGGCTGGCACTGCCCAGCGCCCTGTGGCATCCGATGGGACCTCCCTCTGGAGCTGCTGTACTCACTGACAGCTGTGTTTAATAATGCCTTGTCTGTTTGTAACAACGTCGAGATACACTCAGAAAACAAGAGTGCAGAGAGCTGAATTCTCAGGATCCCGGTATACAGAGACCTTGACTTTTAGGTGGCTGATTTAAATCCAAAACAGACTGTACTAGCTGAAGCTTGTTACCATCTGGTTCTTTGCCTTAAGTGAAAAGAGTTTTGTGGTCTCATTCTGGTCCTCAAAAATGTCACCATTGCAAAATTAGCATTTGTAACAGCACTGAGATATTGCTTGGTACCTCACGGCCTGGGAGGCTGCGCCAGGCAATGTCTGCGTGCCATCTGTGGCATGTTATAGGCAATCCCCACACCCCTTCTTTATGATCTTGGCTCCTTCCTGTGGGAGCTGGAGCTCCATTGTAACCATGGTGTTTATTCAGTATTTCCCTCCCATCACCAGTTCAGACATCAGATGCTTTTAACGAAGTAACAGGTCGTCTGCCCATAGCAGATAACAGGGATAAAGAACACTGACGTGGCTGTGCTCAGGGGTGCCAGCAGCACGCCCTGCAATGTGCTCATGGTAACACTCATGTTCATAATGCAGCTCACTGCTCCTGAGCTTCAGAGGAGTCGATGGCTGCAGGTGGAGGTCTGAACGGTGAGTTATTTAATAGCTGATAAACCCAGGAGAGACATAATCTTCTTCTGGCCTTTGTGTGGAAGGGCTGCTGGAAGGGCAGCTGAACTCTGTGTTGTGTAATGGGATTAGGGGCGTTTTGATGGGGTTAACAGCGTGGGGGATGTTTGCTCGTGTAGCATCTCTCCATGGGTTTGATGAATCCTCGTGCCTTTTACCTCCTTAGTTCTGACTTTGAAATAGGGGAATGCACCCGTGTTTAAGAGCTGCAGGCTTTTGTGGAGCTCCGAGATAGCAGGAAGGGTGCAGTGTGGCTTCAAGTGCACATTGATGCCAGTAACTTCCATAATTACTTAGCCTTGGAAACAATTTTTTAAAGCCATGGTGCGGAGGGGATGAATGAGCTTGGCATTAATATTGGTGCACCTGGGAGGGACTGAAAGCAGTTTCATTCATTTTTTCTGCTTTCTAATAAGGAAGGAGGAAAACCTGTTACAAATTGGTCACCTGTACACCAGCACAGTGAGGGCTGCAGCACAGACTGTGCCTGGGATGAGGTCTGTGCAGAGCCGGCCCTTGGGCAGAGCAGTGGTCAGTGCTGTGGTCTTGGGTGCCCAGCAGGTGCAGGTCAGTGTTTTTCTCCTTCTTAAGCTTGTTTGCTGTCAGGTGTAAGCTGCCCTGGCTTGGAGTCGCCCCGGTCTCCTGCTGCAGACAGAGGTTTGAATGCAGAGCTCACCCAGTGCGCCCTGGCTGCCTGGCCAGCAGGATTGTCTCTAACGTGTCACAGCTCCCTGTCTTCTGGAGGTTTTGTGCACGTTTTCTGTTGTCACAGTCACAAAGCGCTGCGCTTCATGTTGATGCTTTTCAGACTTCCCCATAT